ACCAGCAACTCAGATTTTGCCCACGTCCAACTTATTTAGGTGTCACATTAGACCGGACCCTGTCATTTAAACATCATGTCGAGAAGACTAGGGCCAAGATCTCTACAAGGAACAACCTGTTGGGGAAGCTGGCAAGCTCCACCTGGGGGGCTAATCCACACACACTAAGAACTACTGCTCTTGCACTCTGCTATTCTGTTGCCGAATATGCCGCACCAGTTTGGGAACGCTCCTGCCATGCCAAAAAGATAGACCCGATGCTGAACCAATCGTGCCGTCTAATCACCGGATGCCTAAAACCCACATCGGCCCAACAGCTACACCTCCTCAGCGGGATAGCTCCATCCCACATAAGGAGACAAGTTTCCAGCATGAAAGAGAAACAGCAAGCTCTTTCCGATACCCGGCACCCGCTCTTCGGACAACACGCCGCTGGACCCAGGTTGAAATCCCGAAAAAGTTTTCTTTCTGCCGTCCAGCCACTTGATAGCAGCACGACATCCGCAAAGAGACTGGAGTTGTAGTCAGCAACTTCAACAACTCCAAATGAATTTGCGCTAAGGCCAAAAGAGAGCCTACCACCTGGTGCGGAACAGGCATGGCCGGCGTGGAGAAGTCTGAACCGTCTGCGTACTTAGGTTGGCAGATGCAAGTCAAACATGAACCAGTGGGGCTACCTTGACGGATCTGTATCCTGTGAATGCGGATAGGAACAAAATATGAGGCATCTTCTCGTATGCCTAAATCTCCCAAACATATGTAATCAGAGTGATCTCGCGGAGGGAAATACCAACGCTCTGGAGTGTGCCAAGTACTGGATATCCTGTATATAACTGCTGTATGCATACATATTTTTTGTGTTATGACGTGCCTTTTTTATTAATTTAGCCGTTTTGTATATTTTATATATATTTTTGTGTTTCTTCATTTTTTTTGTATATACTGAGTTGGACACGAGTAAATAAATAAATTGAAGACTATCTTCCTAACTTCTTCTTACAGTGCCATACTCTATATAGAGCGTCGGCTACTTTTCGCATGTACTTGTGATGTGTTTCATCAGTGTTTTACAAGTACACGGGACCTACAGTTTATCGCCGAATCCGAACGGCACTATTTGAGAGGCTGTACAAGGCAAATATACTCAAGGTGGTTTGCCATTGCCTTCCTTGAGGTGGCGGCTCGTTGGTCGCTCTATTTAGATAAATAAATATTTTTTATTTAAATAAATAAAGCGACCGTACTGGCTGGGGATCGAACCCAGTACCTTCTGCTCCGCAGATCGACACACCAAAAGGGGGGAAAGTGCCAAAATTATTTTTTCGGGATAAATGAGAAAAACACAGTAGAACTGAAAATAATAACTTTTTAAAATATATTTTAAAATACATATAATATACATAAACAATAGAGGCTTTCGCTTGGCCCTTGTAACTTTTATTAGGACACGCAGCATGGTACTTATTACGTTTCTAATGTAATAACTTAATATTGAAAAATTTGGCACTTACCCTCTTTGGTATTTCCACTCTTCAATTAATGTTATACTATCTTCCATCAACTGATATACAGGGTGCTACAAATTCGGGGTACGAGCATTGGTATCTCGGTAACCGTAATAGATACGAACATGGTTAAATTGGGGCAAGGTTGCGCTTTGGGATGTTCACCAAGATGCCATCAAAAAAGTTTTTAAAATATCAAAGATTGCTTAGTTTTTTCGAAAAAAAACCGGATTTTTTTGAAAATTAATTTTATTTTTTCCTATCGTTACTTTCCAGAAAATCAAAAAACTAATTGCAGATTCTCATAGCCACTTTATTAGGGATATCTGATAGTATTTTTAGATTTTCAAATTAGGTGATAATTTCTGAGATACAGAGGCCAACTTAATTTTTTTAAATACGGACCTGCATTTTTTATTTTGGGTTTTCAAAGAACTCGGTCCCCTGAGTACAATGATATGCCACACTTAATATTTTTTGTTGTTTTGGATATTCGAACACAATTTATTTAAACTAATTTCAAGTCAAGTCCGGCTCTGTTTTTTTTTTTAATATTTAATCTATCCATCGTTACAGTATTGATTAGCTTTTAAACCTAATAACAACGTAAAACATTGAATACGGAAAATCAAATGCAATAAAATAATAAAAAATAATATAAATATAAACAATCAAATAATTTCCCAGGAAGATGAATTGGAAATGGTACAGGATAGAGCAGTATAATGGCCAGCGAGGTTCCTGGACCTGTCGCTAAGGGGCGGAGGGGGCATTACTTGACGTCATTTGTAAAAGTGAAATCAATACATCTCAATATTTATAATAAAGAGTACAAAATGCTTTCGGAAATATAAGAATAAGATCTGTTTAAAGAGCTATAAATAAAATTGAACGAAAAATAAATTTGTGCAATAGTGAGGGTGGTAACTCTTTCGAACATGTAGAGCCTTATAATTAGAAACTATATAGTTTGTAGAAGTTGATTTTATTATTAGATCATACACTGAGATTTCAAATTCACAATTAAAAAAATTAAAAATACTATTTTTAAATTGCTGACCTGGATATTATTTATTTGAATCTTTCAATTGACTCGATTTTCCTGTCGGACTTGAAATTATTTTAAATAATTTTCAATAAGTTTGTTTGTCTCTTAAGGTACCCAATACAAAAAAAAAAGTATAAAGTGTGGCATATAATTGTAATTGGGAGGCCGAGTTCTTTCAACAACTAAAATAAAAATGCAGGTCCGTATTTAAAAAAAAAATAAGTTGGCCTCAGTATCTCAGAAATTATCAGCCCATTTGAAAATCTAAAAATACTCTCAGATATCCCTAATAAATTGGCTATGAGAATGTGCAATTAGTTTTTGGATTTTCTAAAAAGTAACGACAGGAAAAAATAAAATTGATTTTCAAAAAAAAATCGTTTTTTTTAAATTCAGCAATCCTTGAAATTTCTAAAACTTTTTTGATGGCATCTTGGTGAACATCCCAACGCGCAACTTTGCCCCAATTCAGCCATCTCGTATCTGTTACGGTTTTCGAGATACCAGTGCTCGTACCTCGAATTTGTAGCACCCTGTATAGTACCTAACATAATATACAGGGTGGTGACAATTTCGATGCTCAACATTGGCATCTCAGAAACTACGAGAGATACGAATTCGGTTAAATGGGACAAAAGTTGCGTAATTAGAAGTTTGACCAACACCTATGAAGAAAACTCCGGTATCTTGATTAACGTAAGTTGGTAGTTTTATATTTTTAACCTCGACCAATTAAATGCCGTTTTCAGAAAATTTCTAAGCCTTCTAGATTTCGCACAACAACAGTCAAGTTTTTGTTTTTTTATGGCCGCTATTTTGAATTTTTATACTATTAGATAGAGCGAAAAAAAATCTATATGGTGGTATCTAATTTTTATTCATTATTATGTAAATTCACTAAAAAATAGGTTTTTAAAAAAAATCGCCTAAGATCCAGTCTGCCTTGGCCTTGGAAATCCAGTTGACACTTTATATGTCAGCAATTTATTTTTCATTTATTCTATTAAGTGTCAAATCTGGACACACAAAAATTGTATAGTTTAGTTCAATACAGGTCAATACAGAACCTAAAATTTTATTGTCAAGAAGGCTAGCCCAGACGTTCAAAAATTTCTTATTTGTGCTCTGGTTGCTCTAATTAAATGAGGATTTTCTTTTGCATAATAATGTATTTTTTTTCTGTTAAATGTACCAGAATTTGTAAATAAAGATTCATCCCTCCATAATATTTTTCTAGAAAAAAGGCGGCTCTCTTGAACACTTTCCCGAAATCATTTGCAAAATTGTAATCTTTTCTCGTGATCACCAGCATGTTAAAAAATGTAAATTTGGTACATATTTAAATTTAAAGTTGTGATATTTGTTTTTTTTTTGATAATTTTCCCTATATAAGAATCACTTATACAACACTTGCAACTTATTTTTTGGCTAGAAGTTTCCGGATTTATTTCAATCTAAGCTGGCGTATTAATATCATTAAGCCTTTTAAAATATTGTCCTGTTGTTTTTTAAAGCTACCAACAATTGCTAAATTTTTTGAAATCTTTGCGAAAATAGTACGATGAGGCTGTGTCCTTTCAGGATACAATGTTGTATAACTTGCGCATACCATATCGGAATTTCTATTATTTTTTAAATAAGTAAACATCATACATATCTCGTGTTTCCTCATTTGTGAACATATTAGGTCTGTTCCCAGAAGAATCTCTGACTAGTCAGCGCGTTTCTTATTGGTTGAAATGCGTAGAAACCTGACTAACAATCAGGTTTCTACGCATTTTAACCAATGAGAAACGTGCTGACTAGTCAGGGATTCTTCTGGGAACAGACCTATTGTTGACTGTTAATACACTTTACACAATCTACTATAAATTTTTGTGTCCAGATTTGACACTTAATAGAGTAAACATAAATTAACTTGCTGTCATATAAAGTGTCAATTGGATTTCCAAGACAGACTTGATATTTTAAGCGAATTTTTAAAAAATCTAATTTTTTAGTGAATTTACATAATAATGAATAAAAAATAGATACCACCAGACAGATATTTTTTTCTCTATCTAATGGTATAAAAATTCAAAATGGCTACAATAAAAAAAACTTGACTGTTTTGTGCGAAATCTAGAAGGTTTATAAATTTTCTGAAAACTGCATTTAATCAAACGGCCAAGGTCAACAATATAAAACTACCAACTTACGTTGCAATAGATACGAGTACAATAGTTTTGAAGATATTGTCATTTAATATAAACGTATTATTTTCATTTTTTTGACATAAATCCGGAGTCTTCTTCATAGGTGTTTGTCAAACATCTAATTACGCAACTTTTGTCCCATTTAATTCGTATCTCTCGTAGTTTCTGAGATGCCAATGGTGAGCATCGAAATTGTCACCACCCCATATACCGTTCTAGAATATGCATAAAGATTTTTTTTCTTTATTACAGGTCGAAATTGTACAACAACTAGAGTTTACTACTAGCGCCGCCAGTTCGCAGCCCCAACAGATCAGCACGAACGTGACGGTAAAAACGCACGCTAATGCCAGCGTTAAAAGCGACGTTTCGTCGCCCAAGGCCTCCACACCCGGAACGCCTGGTCACCAGCAGCAGCAAAAGGCCAACATCGGCTTGGATGTGGGCACACTCGTCGAATGCGTCAAACAAGTAAGGAAATTGATCTAGAATGTATTTGATTGATCAAATTCCTGATACTTTCAGAAACTAAATTTTCGGAGTTTTTTGATCGACCAAAAATTTCAGAAATCAGTTTGCTGCTTTTTTGCGATAACTACACTCAGATGCCAAAAAATTTTCGTCAAATTTAAAGCGTTATATAGGGTGATTCACGGCGATGCAATGGCACGTTAGACGTTTATGGAGAACCGGTCATAGATTTTTTTTAAATTTGGACTTTTTACATAAAGGCACCTGCTCCATCTTTCTAAAATATTTTCAGCATTACAGTGTTGCCGCATCATTCGAAAAGTGGTAGCATCTTTCTTCTAGCATCAAAGTAGTTTTCAAAAATGTAATAATATACCGGGTGTTCCATTTAAAATAACAAAGACGTTACCACTTTTAGTATGAAGCGGCAACATTGTTAAGGCTGAAAATAATTTAGACAGATGGAGCAGGTGCCTAAATTATTTTAGCATTAGATGGAGCAGCCGCTTTATGCAAAAATCCAAATTTTCAAGAAAATCCTATCAGCAGTTCTCCATAAACGTCTAACGTTCCATGGCCGTGAATCACCCTGTATACTCAAATGCAAAAAAACGCAACGGAAACAATTTTTGTCAACTTTAAAGTGTTATATATTTTTTTTTTTTTAGCCCCATTTACTTGATTTTTTAGCAAAATGTATACATTTGTCAACCACATACGACATTCAGTATTGTAGCTAAACGATTCAGTATTTGACAAATTATTAGTTTTGGGTTAATTGAAGAGGACTATTAGAGCTATCTTTAGAAACACCCTGTGCCAAAACCAAACCAAACCAAACTTTAATTCGTAAATTCAGTTTGTTATAAACTTCAGTATTTGACTTATTATTCAGGGTTAATCGAAGAGTTGTTTTTTACCCTATCTTTAAAACACCCTGTGGAATAATTTCGTTAACAAATTTTCCTAAAACATTATTTTTCGGTCAGAACCATGTTTTTGACTCGTGAACACATGCTTCGTTAATTTTTGGAGCAAAATGAACTTGCCACAAACATTTTACATTTTTTCAATTATTGTTACTTTTTAATGTTATTTTTCATAATAATAATAATAAGGAGGTGGCTTTGGTGACTATTGTTGGCGTGTTGGCACCAACAGTAACCAAGGCATGTGTTGACATGAGTCAAGAAACAAAATACCCAGGAGACATGGTTCTGATCGAACTATAATGTATTAAGAAAAGTTACTCATGAAATTATTGGACAGGGTGTGTTTTAAACTGAGAGTAAAAAACAACCCTTTAATTAACCATGTATAATCAACCAAATACTAAAGTTTATAAAAAACTGAGTTTATGAATTAAAGTTGATAGATTTATATACTGTATGCTAAAAAATTGATTGAAAATTGAAAATAGGGTTAAAAATAAAAAATATAACACTTTAAACTTGACGAAAAAAATTTCCGTTGCGTTTTTTTTTGTAAATACAGATTTTTTTAAATTATTAATAGAAGTTACAGAATAAAAAAAATCAATTTTGAATAATATACTTTTTTTTATTTAATTTACTTTTCTGATAATATAAATTTAGTTGCTTAAGTTTTTTATTGTAGCGATCGGATGCATATTCAAAAAATAAATCGGAGTGTTTATTAAGATATGATTGTTTATTCGTTTCCCCTATTTGGTATAAGCATACGGTGTGCTTCTGTGTGGGGATCATCATATTCCCATCGTGTTTTTGTATTGCAGAGAAAAGTAATCCAGATTTTGTCATGAGTCACATTGATTAACTGTTCCATTTTTTCCTTCCAATGTGTTGTCATTAAATAATTGATTATGAGCGTATACTACGAGGGTTGTTTTTTATATTTTGCATATAGAGGTAGAAAAAAACAGTAGATAACTTTTAAACACTATTCTTTTTTGAAGTATTCTTCCCGAAGAGAAATGTATTTTGCATCCGTTGAAACCAATTCTCGAAGTAGATATTCCACTCGCTTGTTGGTACCTACAAAGTTGCGTTTTTGAAGCCGGCGACTCCATCTTCTAGGGACTGGAATCTTTGACCAAGCAGTTCATTCTTAATTTTTGGAAGAGTAAAAAAGTCGTTAGGACTTGGGTCGGGACTGTATGGAGGACGATCAATCGATGTTTTTTTCCCTAATAAAGTAGTGTAAAAAAGTCGTTAGGACTTAGGTCGGGACTGTATGGAGGACGATCAATCGATGTTTTTTTCCCTAATAAAAATGGTAAAATCTTTGTGGGAAAGAGCTGTGTGGGATGTTTGTCTTGGTAGAACCATTCGACGTTGAGGGTTGGTTTTTCGAAACTTGGCAATTACTTCCGGCAAACAATTAGATATGTACCAATCAGGCGTAACAGTTCTTTGATCTTGCACAGGAATTGTTGCTACATGACCCGCTTGTGAGACAAATGTGGGGACTGCATCTTCTGGGGACTGGAATCTTTGACCACGCAGTTCATTCTTAATTTGTGAAAAAGTAAAAAAGTCGTTAATACTTAGGTCTGGACTTTTTTTGCTTTAAAAACATAATAATAATTATTTTTGAAGCTGTGTGGGAACTTGTATTTTCTTTGAGGAATGGTTTTGGATTTACTTGCGGCAAACAAACAGATATGTACCAATCGTCAGTAACAGTTTTTTGATCTTGCAGAGGAATTGTTGCCATATGACCCGCTTTTGAGACAAATGTCGCCACCATATTTTTGGAAACACTTCGAGGACAGATAATCTTCCTCGGTTTTGGTTCATCTTGGAACACCCAAACTGCCGATTGACGTTTCGGTGTAAATTGGCGGTATTTATAACCAAGCGATCAGGTAGCTATTAAACCACAGAATAGCTACAGAACGATCAGCCAACGTAATAAAGAGAGAACAGTTTTTTGCTGCAATCTATTGAGGGTTGTCTTTTATATTTTGCATATAGAGGTAGAAAAAAAAATAGTAGATAACTTTTAAACACTACTGATTTTTTGAAGTATTCTTGCTGAAGAGAAACATATTTTTGCATCCGATGAAACCAATTCTGAACGTAGATATTCCAGGCGCTTGTTGGTACCTTCAAAGTTGCGTTTTTGAAGGCGCTAACTACATCTTTTAGGGGACCTGAACCTTTGACCACGCAGTTCATTCTTAATTTTTGGAAAAGTAAAAAAGTCGTTAGGACTTAGGTCGGGACTGTATGGAGGACGATCAATCGATGTTTTTTTTTATCTAATAAAAATGGTAAAATCTTTGTGGGAAAGGGCTGTGTGGGAAGTTTGTCTTGGTGGCGAACCATTCGACGTTTAGGGTTAGTTTTTCGAAACTTAGCAATTAGTTCCGGCAAACACATAGATATGTACCAAACAGGCGTAACAGTTTTTTGATTTTGTACAAGAACTGTTGCTACATGATCCGCTTTTGAGACAAATGTCGCTACCATATATTTGGAAAAACTTCGAGGACGGATAACCTTCCAGTGGCGGCTTAACCATGAGGAGAAAAAAATCACCTGAAAAAAATCAGGAGAAAATTAGAAAAATCTATTTAAATTATACTTTTTGTAAATCGCTTTTTTCATCATAAGATATTCAAAACTATTCCCAAATATCTTCAATTTGTCCAATTTTCGCTTGAAAACGTTTATTTTACGCATTTCCATTCCTGCCGGTCAAAATTTCATTTTGTCCTTCGTTCCCGCTATCTTTTAAACATATTAAACTCCAAATGCCGCGGCTCGTGACGCTAACAAGGTAAGGTACAGTACGTCTGCCGGATCTGTGTCTATGAAAGGAATGCGGACAAAAAACATTTAAATAAACAACAATATATTTTATTCGTCGACTTAACGAGTACGTCACTGCAAATCGCTCCGCCCACTCATTTTATTGGCTACTTGCAAATTTGTCGAATTTTTATTGATGGGACGCGTCGTCTATTTTTTTACGAAAAACATCGAGAGAATATCTTTTCCCCTCTCACGGATACCCCGTAGCTACAGAACGGACAGACGTACTGTATACTACGTATAAAAATATAATGGGTTAAGGTGCGATAGATATAGTTTATATTGGCCATTGACCGCGTCATTCATAAAAGGATTTCAGTCATATCGCTGGAAAAATTTCGCCTATGGTTTATGTTGTTTTATGGCCCCAGCCCTTCTAGCTGTGCTATCAGGCATCTAGAAATAGACTGTAGGACCCAATGGGAATATTTAAGGCGGTCAAAAGTTCTGTTTGAATAATCAAAACTTTGATTTTAAAACATTTATTAATTTTATTTATTTTCAAATCAAATTAACTTAAAAAAGTTGACGATCCATGTTTTTGTCTAGGAGTGTACATATGCCTGGCTTTTTCTGAATATTGGTGTTATCTCTCTGTGTTTTTTGAGCCGTTCGAATTTCTGTTTTATTGTATGGGCATTATTTTGTATCAATATATAGATAATGTTGGTCCAACAAAGACTATTTTTGACGAAGGTAATTTTTAATTTGTTATTGGTATGTTTGTGTGTTAATTAATTTTGTTCTTTGTGCTGTACTATTTAGGGTGAGTCTGAAATCATATATTTTTAGGACTGGTAGATATCGGTAAAAAAACATATTCGCTCTTTACCATTTTTCAACTAAGTCAAAAATAACCGAGATATTTTACTTTGAAAATTTCAAAAAATTGATTTTTCCCGTAAATTTTGAGAAAAGTTTTGCGAAACCTTTTAGAAACATAAACGTGTTTCTGGAGTCGAAATATACTCACCCTAAAAATATTTGCACTTATTTAAGACTCACCCTGTACCTATATCCTATTTCTAGAACTTTCATTTTATTTTTTCTTATACTTTTATATATTTAAGGTATCAAAAATGACAGATGGATGTCAGTGTTGTCGTTTGTCAATTGCTGTGCACCCCCTTGCCTTAAATCGAGACGTAATTGAAATGTGCTCGAGAAAATTTCACAATTATTTCCAATGTTTTAATTAATAATCAGGCGATTAATTCGCCTCAGGATAGACCATAATGTGGTTGACTGGTCAGTGATGATTTTACTGTGGAGTCTTCAATGTATTCGCTAAGTCTATTTTTTAATGTAGTTTTTAGAGAAGGTTTTTTTGTCACGTTGATGTTCCGAGGATAGAATAAATAAATTCCGAAAGCTTGACTATTAACAAAGTGCATTAATTTTAGTCCAAACCCTTCCGACTATAACCCCACTAGTTCCTAGATGTTCTTTTTCACTAGTCAGTCGATACTACTGTCTGCCCTTAAAATATATAAAAAACAGACAGTAGTATCGACTGGAACCTTGACCACGCAGTTCATTCTTAATTTTTGGAAATGTAAAAAAGTCGTTAGGACTTAGGTCGGGACTGTGTGGAGGACGGTCCAACAATTCGGTATTTTTTTTTCCTAATAAAAATGATCTAACAATTTAAATTGAAGAGAAGAATACATCTTTGTGAGAAAGAGCTGTATGGGAAGTTTGTCTTGGTGGAGAATCATTCGACGTTGAGGGTTGATTTTTCGAAAGTTAGCAATTACTTTCGGCAAACAAATAGGTATGTACCAATCAGAGGTAACAGTTCTTTGATCTCGCATAGGAATTGTTGCTACATGACCCGCTTTTGAGACAAATGCCGCCACCATCTTTTTGGAAACACTTCATCTCGGAACACCCAAACTGCGATTGACGTTTATTTGGCATGTTCATAAGAGTAAATGCAGGATTTATCACCACTGACAATACTGTATATATTTTTGAGTTTCCTGCGTTAAACTGGTGTCGATTTTTTTGACATTATTGACTCTTATTCCTTTCTGTTTTTCAATCAACAGATGCGGCATCCAACGAGAAACTATTTTTTACAGACAATTCTTTATGTAAAATTTTTTGTATTGAGGTCTTTGAAATGTCCAATGAATGATGCTTCAATTTTACGTTGTGTGACGATCTTCTTGGGACCAACTCGGCAAGGCATTCTTGTTGAGACAAATATCTTCGAAAATAGTAAAAAAATATTGGCAGAAAATTTTCTCGGCTTAATTCAATTTATTGATTCACTCATCAATTTCAAAAATTCATTCATTAACATTTGATAAGTGTTGACAGGCGCCTACTATGTTTCTAGGTAGTTTATATTTAACTGTAACATCGAGTTTATTTAATATAAATGTAGGTGGGATGCCCAGTACACTATCTTTATGGTATTGCAATTTTAATCTAATATATTTATTATAATTCTAGGAACCGGACAATGATTTCGCGGACTTGGACCAATGCGCCGCGGCTCTGGAGAAAGATGCTGCAGCCAATGGCGGAGCGGGATTCGGGGGATTCCCCGACCTCATCGGCGACGACACCAACGACGAAATTATGTCGTCGGCTGCGTTCAAAGACTTGATATCCGACATTAGCAACTACTCGGACTATCCCGAACTCATGAAGGAGTTCGATTTCGAGGACAAGCCTAGCGAGAATGTGAATAACATGAAGGTAATTATTACTAAGAATAAAATGGTATATTATTTTTTATCTCACTTAAGAAATATAGATCTCATTAAAAACATAGAATGTAAAAAATGCCAAGTCTCGCAACACTATTCTTCCGCTATAAAAAGTTGTGAGATCTCTTGTAAAACCAAGTCAGATTATTTTATTTAGTCTCTCTTTAAGCACCTATTTAACAATTTTGTTATAAATTATTAGTATCAATATTAGTCATCTTTATTTCTGTAACAATTATAATGATTTTTTTTATATAAAAAGTCAAATGAACAACTAACTGTCTTTGACAACGGTCTGATAATGGCTGGAATTGCCGAAACCAGTCACCAATAAAGACTTTTTTGACAGTGGTTTGGACTTTCTTCTTGATTTTAACATTAAGTTAATTATAATGACTTGGCAATAGCACAGCACCATAATTATAAAAAAAATAATTTAACGAGTTTTAATTATAAAAAAAAATAATTGTTGCGAGACTTGCATTTTTTTATATTCTATGTTTTTGATGGGATCTTATTTCGTTTGGTAGGTTATCCTCCTATTTTTTTTTCGGGTAACATATTCAAAATAATATTAAATAAGTTTGACTAGGAATAATTAATAAATTTTGGTTGCAGAATTATCGTATAAAGTCAGATAATATCAAATGGATTAATTCTAGTTTTCTAACGACTGGTGTTTCCGACTTTCGTTGTAAGCTAAATATCAACTTTAAAAATGTTCAATTCGTGATTTTACCATTGCTTATTCAAAATCATGTTTTTGTCAATTTTACATATTTTATTTTTTATCTCGAAAACTATAAGTAATAGGTGTAGGTTATAATAAAAAAATATGAGATATGAGGGTAGTTTCCAAAAATGTAATAATACAGGGTGCTACAAATTCGAGCTACGAGCATTGGTATCTCGGTAACCGTAATAGATAAGAACATGGTTAAATTGGGGCAAAGTTGCGCTTTGGGATGTTCACCAAGATGCCATCAAAAAAGTTTTAAAAATTTCAAGGATTGCTGAGTTTTTTGGAAAAAAAGTGTTTTTTTAAATCAACTTTTTATTTTTTCCTGTCATTACTTTTTAGAAAATCAAAAAACTAATTGCACATTCTCATAGCCACTTTATTAGGGATATCTGATAGTATTTTTAGATTTTCAAATTAGCTGATAATTTGTGAGATACAGAGGCCAAATTAATTTTTTTAAATACGGACCTGCATTTTTAATTTCTGATTTTGAAAGAACTCGGTCTATTGAGTTCAATGATATGCCACACTTAATATTTTTTTTGTTTTGACATTTGAACACAATTTATTTAAACTAATTTCAAGTCTGGCTCTGTTTTTTTAATATTTAATCTATTCATCGTTACAATATTGATTAGCATTCAAAATTAACAATGACGTGGGGTAAAACTTTGAATACGGAAAATCGAATGTAATAAAATAATATAAAATAATTAATTTAAATATAATATAATATAAACAATCAAATCATTTTCCCGGAAGATGGACTGGAAATGGTTTGGTTTAGCAATATAATGTACAGCGAGGTTCCTGGGCCTATCGCCAAGGGGCTACATTACTTTACGTCATTTGTAAAAGTGAAATCAATTCATCTCAACATTTACAATAAAGAGTACAAAATGCATTCAGAAGTATAAGAAGAAAATTGAAAGAGCTATAAATAAAATTGAACGAAAAATAAATTTGTACAATAATGGGTGGTAAGCCTTTTGAACATGTAGAACATTAGAAACTAGTTTGTAGAAGTTGATTTATTTACAATAACTACGATTAATATTATGCATATTATTAGATCGCACACTGAGATTTCAAATTCACAATAAAAAAGTTAAAAATCATATATTTAAATTTCTGACCTGGATATTATTTATTTGAATCTTCCAATTGGCTCGGTTTTCCATATTCAATGTTAATTAGCGCTGATCAATATTGTTGCGATAAATATAATCAGATTAAATAATTTAAGAAACCAGAGTCGGACTTGAAATTATTTTAAATATAATTAAATAGTTTTGTTGCTGTTAAGGTACCCAAAACAAAAAAAAAGTATAAAGTGTGGCATATCATTGTATTCAGGAGACCGAGTTCATTAAAAACCTGATATAAAAAATGCAGGTCCATATTTAAAAAAACTAAGTTGGCCTCTGTATCCCACAAATTATGAGCTAATTTGAAAATCTAAAAATACTATCAGATAGCCCTAATAAAGTGGCTATGAGAATGTGCAATTAGTTTTTTGATATTCTAAAAAGTAACGACAGGAAAAAATAAATTTGATTTTCATAAAAATCAGTTTTTGCCAAAAAACTCAGCAATCCTTGAAATTTTTAAAACTTTTTTGAGGGCATCTTGGTGAACATCTCAATACGCAACTTTGCCCCAATTTAACCATGTTCGTATCTATTACGGATACCGAGATATCAATGCTCGTACCTCGAATTTGTAGCACCCTGTATAGTGGGCGTTCCATTTAAATAAAACGAAGATGCTACCACTTTTCAAATCATCCGGCAACACTGTAACGCTGATAATATTTTAGATAGATGGAGCAGGGGCCTTTATATAAAAATCCAAATTTTCAAAATTTTCAATTTTTTCCTCGTGGGTACTATGCTGTAATTTTTGTGGTCCACCGGTCCTCCTATTACCATCGCCGGAAAGTCGGTTACCGTTAGCGGCTAGACAAGTAACTTTTGATTCATAAGGATATTTCCAGATTTTTCATTTTTTTTTCTTTCATTATAAGCTACCTAAAATTCGAAATTTGAAGTTAGTGACACATCAGAATTACCCTATGGTGCGTTTAGACTTGAGCACGCACGCACTGATCCTCCGCGAATGCTCAAGTGTAAACGGCTGTGCGCGCACGCTCACTCTGAATAGGTCTGTGCAGCCGCGAACGTGAGCCGTCTGGTGTCGGTTTTTGGTCCGTGCTCAAAGGGATTTTATGGGTGCGCGAACGCTCAGTTTGCACCGGCAATTTGTTTTGTCTGCCTTCGTGCATGCGTGTGTGATTTTTTTTTCGTTTTCTTTATTAAAATTATGGAGTGGATCAATGAATCTTCGTTATTATTAATTGAAGAATATGAAAAGTTGTCTATATTGTCAAGAAAAATGGCGTATCCGCCAGAAATTAAAAATGTATTACTGGTTGCCTGCACAACCGCAACGTATCCGCCAGAAATTAAAAGACTTTTTCAGGCGCCATCTTTTAGTCAAGTCGAGAAGTAAGGGAATCAGACAATGGAATTGTCTGGTATGAAGAAGTACGCTTTCCGGAGAATTGGGGAAATTTCGAGAAGCAGTCAATAGAGTATATAAGCCGGAGCCATCGACAACTGAGACAGTTTTTGAAATTTGAATATACCGCGTGGAAATTGAAAATCGGACAATTTGGTGAAGGAATCTTATAAATAGTTAGTTTGTTGTGTGTTATAAGTTAGTAATTGTGTATAAAGTGAGAAAATAAATTCGTTAAGTATTTTATCGTGAGTTTAAATAGTGGACCCACGGAATCCGTAACAATTGGTGTCAGAAGTGGGATTCAAGAGGATTTTAAGCAGAAATTAAGTGGATTGGAAGATTTTTAGACCGAATTAGAGTATTTTTATGGTTGGTACAAGGGAACAAGCGAAGAAAATGGAGGAAGTAAGCAAATTATTGGGCGATTTTATGGAGAATATGAGAAGAGAGAAGGCAGAAGAACAAGAAAGACTCCGTAAAGAACGAGAAGAAGAGCGAGCCCGATTAGAAAGAGAAAGGAAGAAGAGGAAAAACTACGACGTCAACAAGAACAGGACCGGCTTGAGAACATTTTCGAAGATTTAAAAATTCAACGACAACAAGACAAACAAGAAGAACAGGACCGGCTTGAGAAAATTTTCGAAGATTTAAAAATACAACGACAACAAGACAAACAAGAAGAACAGGACCGGCTTGAGAAAATATTAGGAAATTTGGAAATTCGTGTGGAGGAGCGACGTCACAGGGAAAGACAAGAAGATCAGGACCGTCTTAAAGAGAACTTTGGAAAATCAGGAATTTCGACTACAGAAGAATTTTGAAGACCTGGAAAAACGGCAGGAAAATCACCTTCAAGAAGCCGTAGAAGATCTTGAGGAACGCTTTCAGCAGAAAATGGAAAAATTAGAGATGGACCTACAGAAGACCAAGGCACAAGTAAGAACACCTGGCGTTCATGGAACTGCGAACCTCAAGGCCCCGACCTACGATGGACAAACCACCTGGACGATGTACCACCGCCAGTTTGAAACAGCGGCTGCTGCCAATGAATGGACTGACCAGGAGAAAGCAGCGGCACTTGTCATCGCGCTGCGTGGCCCTGCCCTGGAACTCCTGCAAACTATTCCTGCAGCCCAACAGCAGGAATACCAAACTTTGGTCGCTGCACTGGACAGAAGATATGGCGACCAACATCGACGCCAACTTTACCAGGCCCAGATCAAGACACGCCTGCAGAGGTCCGGAGAGAGTCTGCAGGAATTTGAAGCAGACTTACGTCGGCTGGTACACCTGGCATATCCAGAAGCACCGGAAGGATTTAGGGAGGAACTCGCTGCTCAGTGCTTTATCAGCGGACTGAGGGACAACGAATTAGAGAGGGCGCTGCAAATATCCCGATTTTCTACCAGCAGCGAAGCACTGGTCAGGGCGCTGGAAATCGAAGCTGCTTTTAGCGCCATCCCTAGACCGAAGATAAGATCGGTAGCGGTCGAGGAACAGCCCGAAAACACTCACAGAGGTTTGGAGGAGATGTGTAAGAAAGTCGACAAACTATGTGAGCTACTAATAAACAAGGGAGTCAGCAACACCCAGACAGAAAACCAGAGAAGATTCCAGGACATAAGGTGCTTTAGAGGTGGCAGGAATGGCCACATTAAACGGTATTGCCGCGTTCAAATGCGATCCCGTTCACCATCCAGAGAACGTAGGCACCAGGAAAACTAAAATCAGTCAATACTAAGGGGCGAGTATTGACTGGGGAGAACAGAGCCCCAAGGATTTTTTCCATTAGAAATCTAGGAAGAACCGCTGACAGTTTGGTGATCGACGGGAAAGTCAATGGAAAGGGAATCCGAATGACAGTGGACACTGGCGCTATGGTTTCGTTGGTGCGGGCTAACTCAGTGCAAGGATTGAAGCTGGTGCCTCTGAGAAGAAGAGTGTGTTTACGTACAGTTACGGGGGAAATGGCCGTTGTACGGAGAGGCTATCGTCGAACTGAAGTTAGGAAATTTGAAGTTCCAGCATAGCGTTTTAGTGGCAGATATTGAAGATGACTTCATCTTGGGCATGGATGTGATTCGTCAACATGGATTTTCGTTCGATCACCAGAGAAATATCTTAAATATTGGAAATGAAGAGTTCATGTTATCTCCAGACGAGGACCAGGAAGAATGGATGTAAGATCAGCGGAAACTGTGGTGATACCTGGTAATACCGAGAAGATCGTATTCGGTAAAGTGGAGAAAATCGCTGGGTGCTGTGTTGGATGGTACAAAGTAGCGACAACAAACAGGATAGGTACTTAGTAGGAAAATCATTGGTTAACACCGACAAGAATATACCGATCAGAATTGCGAATGTTTTCCCGAATTGTGTCAAGATCCAAAAAGGTGACAAGATAGCCATCTGCGAACCTGTAAGAAGTGTCACCCGATGTGATGAAGTGTCGTCAGCTGTTACACAAAAAGGCATCCCAAGAAACACTAAAACATCTAGAACAGCCATGGGATCACCTAACACCTGAGGAGAAACAGAAGGCTAAGCAGTTCCTGCTAAAGCATGGCAGTATTTTTTTGAGAAGAACAACAGTGGAAGAACGGATTTTGTGAAGCACCGGATTAATACTGGTCATGCTCAGCCGATTCGACAACGTCCTAGAAGAGTTCCCCTTTCCAAACAACAAGAAATGGAGACAATGGTAGATAAGATGTTAGAAGAGGGAGTAATCGAAGAATCATCAAGTCCATGGTCATCTCCCGTTGTTTTGGTGACGAAGAAAGATGGTGGTACACGATTCTGCATGGACTATAGGAAGCTCAATGACGTCACTAAGAAAGATAGCTACCCACTGCCACGTATAGATGACACATTAACAACTCTGGCAGGTTCGTGCTGGTTCTCCACTCTCGACTTAAAGAGTGGATACTGGCAAGTTGGTCTGGACGAGGACGATAAAGAAAAGACGGCTTTTTCTACAGGAAGCGGCCTATACCAATTCAAGGTTATGCCATTTGGATTATGCAATGCTCCAGCCACTTTCGAACGTCTCATGGAGGTGGTGTTAAGAGGATTAACTTGGAAAACGTGCTTGGTTTACCTCGACGATGTATTGGTTATGGGAAGAACTTTTGAAGAGCATTTGCGAAATTTAGAAGATGTCTTCGGCCGCATACGGAATGCTCACCTGTACTTGAACCCGAAGAAGTGTAGTTTATTCCAGCGACAAGTGGAATTCTTGGGTCATGTAGTCTCAGCAGACGGAATTTACACCGACCAGAAGAAAATCGCTGCAATCAAGGATTGGCCTAAACCTCGCGACAAACATGAACTTAGAAGTTTTCTGGGTTTATGCACATATTACAGAAGATTTGTCAAGGGATTTGCCAACATAGCTGCACCTTTACATAAACTTACAGGTGATGAAGTCGGCTACGAATGGAACACCGATTGTGATGTAGCCTTTGAAAGACTTAAAGCGGCTTTATGTTCAAGTCCTATTTTAGCCTACCCACAACAACAAGGAAGGTATATCCTGGATACCGACGCCAGCAACATCGGCATCGGTGCAGTGCTATCACAAGTGCAAGATGGCGAAGAACGAGTGATAGAATATTACAGTCGAGTTCTATCCAAACCAGAAAGGAATTACTGCGTTACCCGGAAGGAGCTGCTAGCAATTGTAAAGGCAGTTGATCATTTCATAAATATCTGTACGGCCAAGAATTTTTAATTAGGACAGATCATGCGGCTCTCAAGTGGCTTATGGAGATGAAACAACCTGAAGGTCAAATAGCACGATGGCTCGAGAAGCTCCAACAGTATCACTTTACCATCCAACATCGTGCTGGAAAAATGCATGGTAACGCAGACGGTTTATCCAGAAGACCCTGTCAAACCGATTGTAAGCACTGCTGTAAAACGGAACAACGTGAAGGCACTGTCATGATAAGGAGTTTTAAACTTGGAACCGATGAACAGTGGACGACGACACAATTGAGGAAAGATCAAATGGAAGATCCAGACATCGGAGCAATACTACGGCTCAAGGAAGGTAACGGCGAGAGACCACCGTGGCAGGATATTGCGGACAGAGGGCTCGTTTTCAAAGCTCTCTGGGCTCAGTGGAATTCACTGGTTATTGAGAATGGATTGTTAAAGCGCACATGGGAAAGTGCGGATGGCAGCACAGTAACAACTCAGTTACTGGTACCAAGGAAGAAAGTTACCCAGGTATTGGAAGAAATTCACGGTGGTAAAACTGGAGCCCATCTTGGGGTAAACAAGACCTTGAGCAAGCTGAGAGATCGCTTTTACTGGGTGGATTATTGCGAAGATGTCAAGAAATGGTGTCGACAATGTAAAATTTGTGCAGCCAGCCAAGGACCAAGCACTCGATCTAGGGGAAAAATGAAACAATATAACGTTGGACTGCCATTCGAAAGAATCGCTGTTGACATTGCAGGCCCATTCCCTGAAACGCACAAGGGCAACAAGTACGTTTTAGTGGCGATGGATTATTTCAGTAAATGGCCAGAAGTTTTTGCCATTCCAAACCAAGAAGCATCGATGTAGCTGAAGTATTGGTCAATAATGTCTTCAGTAGATTTGGAATTCCCTTAGAGCTTCACACTGACCAAGGAAGGAACTTCGAGTCAAGACTGTTCCAGAAGATGTGTGATCTGCTTGGTATTCACAAGACTAGGACAACAGCTTTACATCCGCAGTCTGATGGGATGGTCGAAAGATTCAATAAGACCATTGAAGAACACCTCTCGAAAATGGTGGCCGAACATCAAAGAGATTGGGATCAACACATACCGCTGTTCCTAATGGCGTATAGAAGTGCAGTTCACAACACCACCGGACTTTCACCATCGAAGATTTTATTTGGTCGAGAATTACGGTTGCCTTGTGACTTGGTGTTCGGATCACCAGACGACGGCACCACAAATGTAGAGGACTACGCGGATGAACTGAAGGAAAGGTTAATGGAAATTCATAAGGCCGTAAGAAGTAAGATTACGCTAGCCAGTGACCGGATGAAAGCTCGTTACGACCTCAGAGCCAATTCTACGGGATTTCAACAGGACGATATGGTATGGTTATATAACCCACAGCGCAAGAAAGGGAGGTCCCCAAAGTTAACTCCAGCATGGGAAGGTCCTTATACAGTCATCAAGAGGATAAATGATGTTGTGTACCGGATTCAACGCAGCCCTAGAAGTAAGATGAAAGTAGTTCATCTGGATCGATTAACAGATACCAGACAGGAAACCTTGATCGGGACGATCAAATTTGAGAAGGGGGCAATGTCAAGAAAAATGGCGTATCCGCCAGAAATTAAAAATGTATTACTGGTTGCCTGCACAACCGCAACGTATCCGCCAGAAATTAAAAGACTTTTTCAGGCGCCATCTTTTAGTCAAGTCGAGAAGTAAGGAATCAGGCAATGGAATTGTCTGGTATGAAGAAGTACGCTTTCCGAGAATTGGGGAAATTTCGAGAAGCAGTCAATAGAGTATATAAGCCGGAGCCATCGACAACTGAGACAGTTTTTGAAATTTGAATATACCGCGTGGAAATTGAAAATCGGACAATTTGGTGAAGGAATCTTATAAATAGTTAGTTTGTTGTGTGTTATAAGTTAGTAATTGTGTATAAAGTGAGAAAATAAATTCGTTAAGTATTTTATCGTGAGTTTAAATAGTGGACCCACGGAATCCGTAACAATATTATGAGATGTTAAACATTCTTTGTATTATTAAAAAATTAAAAAAAAGGCATGACAAGATCTTGTAAATAAATTTAATATTGAATATGTCGATATTAATGAAATTGCTATTCTAAAATTTGTATCTTTTGTTCGTAATTTTTGGTGTTATTAAATTTTGTAAATATTCAAAGTCGGGTCTGGTCATTCTTGTAAAGTTTTTGAACTGATCATAGCCCTCCTCAGACACGAAGTTGTTGCAGTAAATTATATCGATTTCTAAAAATTTGGGTTTGCCACCCGCGACAATGTTTTCTATTTTTCTCCTTTTTAATAATTAAGCTGTGCATAACAATGACTGCAGCCTCGACTATTTCTTGGTCGTCCATTATTTTCGCCAACACAACTCTGCTGTGCGCGCACAAATGGATCACTTCATTCGTCGAAAAATAAGTTTTAATTTGAACGGAGCCGAGAGCGCGAACGAATGCCGTGCGCGCACGCTCAGCTCGTGCGTGCTAAAGTCTAAACGCACCATTAGAATTTTCAGTCAATGACGAAATTACAGAAATTTGACAAGCAATAATTCATAAACTATGAGGTATAATTACTAGATATTTTATGTCTTTATGTGTAGTGAAAATTCATATTTTTGCTTTATCTACAACGAAGTTACAGGGTGGTCAAAAGTGCCGCTAATACCTTCGAGAAAATGGATGGTACGGCAGTGCTTGACTTGCCCTATTGGAAATTATAGCAAATAGTGAAAATCGTAATGCCGACGGCATCTCAGAATCGACTTGAAATATAAAATAATTGAAAAAAAATCTATCGAAAAACGATCACAACTCGGAGCTAGTAGATATAAATAATAGAAAATAGGTTTCATTAATATTTACTTTCAAAATTATATTATGTATATTAATACACTTTCTGTTATTACAGGCTGAAGATATCAAAGATACAGTACCCACGCAGCCTGGCAACGACCTCAAGCATACCCAGAGTCCCTTATTGGGCAACCAAAACAATTTTTCGCCGCCGGTATATGAGAAAAATCCGGCAGCAGCCGTCAACGCTCGACTGCCCTATTCCAATATGGACTTTACCAAGACCGAATTGAGCCCAGCTGCGCAGACGTTGAAACAGATGGCGGAACAGCATCAACACAAGGTTTGTAGAGCCTAATGATTAGCTAGACAGACTAGAAATATAAAAAAGACAATATACCAATAATACCAACAACAGACAGTTTAATAGCTTTCCAAAGCAATCGTCGTCACTATTAACTCTCACAGATTGTTAACTATTTTTTTTATTCCATAGACTTTTTGGTGGGATTAGGGTTTCCGGAACCGGAGCTGTTTTTCGGAACCGGGAATTTCGGTTACATCGTTTCTAAGAAACCGGAATTTCCCGGTTTGATCGGTACTAGCTAATGCAGTTTGTCAATTAGCAAGCAAGGGATGTTTTTCATAAGTAAAATCGATAAAAGATTAGTTTTTTAATGAAAATAATATCAAATTATCAAGTAATCAGTAATGAGGAAATAAATGAAGAAAAAATCTTAAAAGTAACTTAAACATCAAAAGAACCGGGAGTTCCGGTTCTGAACCCTAGACGGGATATGGTTTTCAAAAAGAGCTTACAAAAAGTTGGCGGTAAACAAGAAGTTTTTTTTTATTTATTAATATATTATACTATAAAAATTTGAAATTAAATTCTCGTTTAATATAATTTTTATTCCAATAAATACTTTGTCAACTTATCATTCCATACATTATTTTGATCAAATTTCTATAAAATTAGAATGCATTTTTCACAAATACTATCGTAAAATAGCATTTAAAACTAGTAATAAACCAGGACATCTACTTAATATGAAAGAGAATATTTTACTGTTTCACCGCTCAGGTGTTCACGGTCTCTCATGTAATGATTATAATGTTAACAAGAGTGAAAGACCACTCGAGACTCATTGAAAACTATAAAAACACAGATACAACCAGCACTCTGTCTCAATTTGCGAACCATATCTCCATTCAGAATCTGGAAGTTAGTGAAATAAATTAGTGGTTTTAGTTAGCGTAAAAGTTTGTTCCTCTAATTTCAATGTAAGTTTTCAGAACGTCAAAATTAGTGGTAATTTTCAGTAGTAGCTTTATTCAGAACCTCGCAATTAATGGAATAAATTATTAGTGGTTTCAATTACACTTTATACTTTTTAGTTTACGATCATCACAATTTTTAAAAAACAATCAAAATTAATAGAATATCCTAGCAACAGCTTGTGTCTTGTGTTAGTCAGTTGTATCCATAGAGAAAGCCTAATATTTAGCTTATAAAACAATGAACTTTTGATTTATAACCACAATTTCTTTTGATGGAAGATAATCAAAGGCCAAAATGACATTTCTCGCAAATTTTGAAGTATTAGTGGAAAAATTAAAAGTTTGATAACTTTTTCTACTAATTGAAAATGTCTACCACTAATTTGACGTTCTGAATGCTTACATTTAAGATTAATTTACCATCCGTCTATAGAAATTGTGGTTAGAATTGAAAAGTTTATTGTTTTATAAGCTAAATATAAGCTTAATAAAAGCTTTTATATATATATATTAGTTTTTATAAATAATATTTTAGATTTGTACATTCAATGGATAAAACTGACTACCCCTGCTGCTAGAATATTCTATTAATTTTAATTGTATTTTAGATATTATGAATGATCGTAAACTCCTAAGTATAAAGTATAATTGAAACCACTAATTTCGAGGAAATTGTGAATGATGGCCGAATAGCCGAAACCAGTCAATACTAAACAATAGTAGTTTGACATTTTCATTGATCACATTTAATTTAGAAATATTAATTTAGTGCTTAATTTAATTTTTAATTACTCTTCCAGAACCAAATGGGACTAAACTTTAATCCGGCCAATAGAGGTCCCAGCGCCAGGTCTCCATATTCCCAGGACTTCCAATTCCAAGGCGACTATGGCAGTAGCAATCCTAACCCCAGCAGCTTCCACAAGAACGGTTCCAGTTTTCCGCAACCGGACATGATCAAACAGGAAATGATCTTCCAGGTAAGGAATTTCTGTTTTTGCTTATCAGATCTTCCGTGAATTTTACCCAATGTTCTACTATGAACTTTTTTGCCTGTGTCTGCTCTGGTGAGTTTCTCTACCATTCTAGAGATTTGTTGGCCACTCATCGTTTTCCGGCCATTCTCATGATTGCTTTTGCAGCGCCGCAGAAGGGTTCTGGGCTTATGAATTACGTTATTTCTATGTTGAATACAATACATAGTTGTATTGAAAAATAGTAATTTAGTTTTTTTTTGGTTGTTTACTAATTTCAATTTTACAAATAACAAAGTTAAACTTGTCAACTTGCAAGAGGAAAAAGAAAAGCATAGAAAATTCACATCAAAGAATTGACATATTTTGTTAAACGTTTTTGATCGTAGATTTAAGCATATTATATAATATAATACTTTCTGTATTTTTGAAGGGCAACGATTTCAACGACATGAAAAGGAAAGCAGCTCCACCTACCAGCGGCATGTACACGAAACAGCAACAGTACTCGCCATATGGCAGTCCAGGCCAAAGCGGAAGCCCGGGCTACCTCAATTCCGGACGCGGAAACGGACCCAATTCCGGTCCTTTTGGAGGGGGTACTCCGCCCAGGCCACCCTCAGGTCCTGGAGGCAATCAACAGGGTCCTGGAGGTACTTCGGTCCAGATAAATCAAGCGCAGCAGTTGAATATCAGTCAGCAGAATCATGGGCATATACAGGTCAGTAAAGTTATTGTGATTGAATTTGTACAGTCGCGTATAGTCGCTGCCAAGAATAAATCTTGATTTGCATGCGTCTGTTATCCGTTGATACGATGGTACGACGGTGCTCTGATTGGTCATAGCGTTTTCGTCGCCATTTTTCATTCGTAAATTTTTTACTCCAGCTCGTCATCGGAGAAAGATCGTACGATAACAGGCGTTTTGGCACTTTTTTGACAAATTTAATCTAACCTTAATAAAAATATAATAGTACAAGAGCTAACAACGTCGATAAAACGAGAATTTTAAGAAAGCTGGTTCTTTAATGTATCTTTTGCTATGCTCTCCTGACCAAAATGCGGGCCGTCTGGCTGCTGGTAGACTACGGTTCACTACTGCGCATCACATACTGTACAGGGTTTGATGATTTGTGTTTGATTTCTCGTTTATGAATAACGATGAGAGATACGATGTTGCGATTTTCACATTACTTTGCTGTTTTTTTATGAAACTAAATATTCTACACATATGTTTGTTAGAGAGCTATGTTTAATAGAGAACGAATTTGTGTTGAGCAGATGTTGAATACAGATATGATGCGCAGTAGTGAACGCGACGTCTACCGGCAGCCAGACGGTCCGCACTCTGTTCAGGAGAACATAACAAAAGATATATTAAAGAACCAGCTTTCTTAAAATTCTCTCTCGAAAACTTTGCTAGCAAAACAGCGAAATCGTTATGGAAATGAAAATATAAAATGACACCGATCACAAGCAAATCAATGAAAATGCAATAAATTTAAAACCTGCGTAATTTTCAAACCAATCGAAGTCATTAAATTCAACTAATAAAATTTGTTTCGTATCATCGTATCGTCGGATAAAGGATGCATGAAAATCCAGCTTAATTCAAATCTGAATTAACGACATTTGTACAAAGTTCACTGACGGTAAAAAGTACTCCCATTGCATGGGCCGGATGTAACACAATTTGATGGTTTAATGCTGGTGATTTAGAATTGATATTTATGCATAATAAGGAACAAAACTCTTTTGGGTATTCTGATTCTTTTAATTTTATATAATAATATTAATAAATTATTGAAACAATTTTTTCGACATCGATTGTCTTTCCCCAGCCCTCTTTATCTTTGTCTTAGTCATTAAAATCCAGACAACTGATTTAGAATAACTGGTCCAGTATATGTACAAATGTCGACATTCAGTACAAATTTATTAGGCATGTTAGTTCTTAAGAAACTTGAGAACAATGAAAGAATTTCAAGAAACTGTGCAATATTAAAATATATTTATGCAGGGTCGGGTAGTCTGAACTGTATTCCGAAAACTTCGGCAGCATATTCTGTAGATAAAAATAAGTAAAAAAGTTCGTATAAATGTATGTCCTAAAATGCATAGTTTTGGAGATACAGGGTGTAAAAGTTTCATTTTTATTTCGATTTCGATTTTTTCCAAATAATTTTTGAAGTAACGTCAATATTTAGATGAAAACTGGTGTCTGAGAGTTTTTTGGCATGAGAAACTTGATTTTGATGTCACTATGACCCCTATTTGTAGGGGCACCACCTACCTGCGTTTTAACTGTTTTGAAGAGTAACAACTTTTCGTCCGTACCTGTATAAAACTACTGTGTGAAAAAATATACATTTTCGTGATTTTTTAAGTAAAAAATGTCTCTTGATAAAAATCGCTACAAACTACCATTCGCAAGATATTTAGAACGAAAATAATCAATACATATCATTATTGCCAAAAAATAAACATGTCGAGTAGTAATGTTGAGAAGTGGTAGCTATTTGACTGAAATAATAAATTTCGGAACTTTTTTCGAAATTTTTCTTCGAAAAAATGATCGAATTACTCTTCAAATCAGTTAAAAATATGTAGGTGGCGCTCTCTATAAGTAGGAGTCATATTGACATCACAATCAAATTCCTCATCAAAAAACTCCTAGACACCAATTTTTATTCAAATATTGACGTTGCTTTAGAAATTATTCGGAAAAAATCGAAATAAAAATGAAACTTCTACACCTTGTATCTCCGAAACTAAGCATTTTAGGACACACATATATACGAACTTTTTTACTTATTTTTATCAGCAGAATATGCTGCCGAAGTTTCCGGAATACAGTTCGGACCATCCTGTATAAAGAAGTATTTATTAATTTACAACTGATATTTAGTAATAACAGAGTTTCGAACAGTTGCTACTTTCAAAAAATAACAGTGCTCTTACAGGGATAACTCACGATGTGCTCGCCGCGTAACGAAAACGTGTTAGAGAGATAATTTTATTTTTGGTTTCTGTTTATATACAATCATCTTAGAAAATCTACCTCTCTAAGCTGTAAATAAAATACAGGACTTTTCTTTTTCCTCCTCTAAATTACACGAGTGTCCTAAGTGACATATAGAACTTTTCTTTTTCGTTCCCGAACTTGTTCCTATACCAGGAAAGAGACTTTCCAGGTATTTTCAGCTACGCGCCTCCAAATCCCTTTCCAATAAATAACAATTCCCTAGTTAAAGGGGGCTCGGGCGGTGGCGGATATGAGCCGAGCCGGGGTGCTTTCCGGCGCCCCGTCTATAAATCAGTCCACTTCCATTATGTCCGCTGGCGTAAAGCCACCCCCAGCGGGGGCCGTTGGAGACAGAGGCACGTGGGCCGTTATGGAGCGCAAGGGAGCCTGGGGGGTTGGAAGGCAGGGTCGACGTAGGCTGGGCGTGACGTAGTTGGCAGTGGCGTTTAGATGAGGAAGTTGTGCAAAAACTGTCTATTATGTATGGAATAGACAATTATAACATTAATTTAGATAGAGTGGAAATCAATATATCATTTTTACTCAGCTTACAGAATAAAAAGTATTTATTTCTAGTTTCGACAATAATAGCCTTCGTTTCTTGAAAAGAATTCTAGGTTTTGAGCCACTTTGACAAAAATCCATATTATTAGCCGACCATACCAACAGGTATGGTAGGCTATTAAGATCAGCAAAAAAAAGTTTTTTTTAATTTCACTCAAAATGAGTTATTTGGGTCATAAATGACCTAAATACAAAATATTTTCATGGTGTCTGTCTGTCTGTCCGTCTGTCTGTAACACGATAACTCAAAAACCGCTAAACCGATTTTAACCAAATTTGGCACAAAAATACTGTGGCACCCGAGAATCTGGCCATTAGTTTTTGGTGGGGTTGGGGGGTTGGTAAGGGGGTATGGGAGGGGGTTAAAAATTAAAAAAAATTGTAACTCCAAAATTACAGTAGTTAGTTTAGTTTAGTTAGTTAGTTTAGTTTTATTTATTAGTAATAACATACAAGAAAAGTATTTTTACAAGTCAAAAAAAATATATATATATAAAATGATAAAAATTGATAAAAATTTAGTTTCTACAGTTTTTTTATTGTTTTTACATTGCATCATTAATACACAAATTTGATAAAATAAAATTTATACAATTAAACAATAGAAAATCATTAAAACCTTAAAATTAAAACAAATATGTATGTCAAATATATGTTATAAATGAACAGATACAACACACAAACACTAACAAATGAAATCACAGACTAAAGCTGGAACTGAAGTACTCCTCAAAAGAAAAAAATGCATTAATCATAAGGTAGTTTCTGATTTCTGTTTTGTACTGATTAAAATTAAGAGCCTTAATTCTAGCTGGTACCAGGTTATAAAACTTTATGCTCAAATATCTTGAACCATTCTTGGATCTCTCAAGCCGGCAAAAGTCCGGTACAAGATTGCTATTATTTCTTGTTGGGTAGCTGTGAAAATATTCATGTGACCTGTATAGATCAAGATTTTGCTTGACGAACAACAAACACTGCATAATGTACACACAGGGCAAAGTTAAAATCTTAAATTTTTTAAATAAATTACGACAATCCTCCCTGTAACCCACCCCTGCAATAATACGCACGCACTTCCTCTGCTGCGCAAAAACCTTATTGACATGACAAGAATGACCCCAGCAAAGAATAGCATAAGTCAGATGGGAATGAAAGTTGCCATGATATACTGTGAGAAGAGTTTCTCTTGAGGTTATCTGCACAAGATTTCTAAACAGGAAAAGTTCTTTTGATAATTTTTTTGACAGGTTGACAAGGTGGTTCTCCCAGGTCAGTCCTGTGTCTAAGTGCACCCCAAGAAACTTGGCTTCTGTTGCACAATGATGAAGTACAGGGTGATCAAAATTAATATTGTTTCTTAGAGTAAAGTTCATACTTTGCGATTTAGAGTGATTTAAAGATAGACGGTTAGCTAGAAACCATTGATTTAGGTTTTCTAGTGAAGTGTGATAATCAAGATTGTCAATCTCTAAGGGGTGGTAACTTATGTAAAAGGTTGTGTCATCGGCAAACAAAACAGTGTTGACTCCCCCTCCCTGGCAGTATGCTAGGTCGTTTATATAAATAAGGAACAAGATGGGGCCTAATACAGATCCCTGAGGTACACCATACTTCAGGGGTTGTTTTTCTGAGTTGCATTGGTTGAAATGAACATATTGACACGGTCAGAGAGATATGACTTTAGTAATTGAACAGCATCGTCCTGAAAGTTGTAGGATATTAATTTTTTTAACAATATGATGTGCGTAACACAGTCAAAAGCTTTGGTAAGGTCTAAAAATGATGCAAGAGTATCAAGCCACCTCTCAAACCCTTCCAATATACCACTGGTAAACCTGTCAATCGCTAATGTTGTGGTTTTGTTTTTTCGAAAACCAAATTGATTAATGGCGAATAGTTTATTAAACTCAAAATGTTCATTGATTTGATTCTTTAGAATACGTTCATAAACCTTAGATAAAATTGGCAGCAAAGATATGGGGCGATAGTTGTTACAGTCATCAACTGAACCCTTATTTTTAAAGAGGGGAACCACCTTTGCAGTCTTGAAAACCTTAGGAAATATATTGCAAGCTATAGATTGGTTTATTAATAGCGCTAAAGGCCGAACTAATATATTTTTTATTCTT